ATCTTCACTTAGATTCTGCAGACTGGTTCCAGTTCTATTTATACTACGGTAATCACAGTAGAATTTCGGTTCGGCACCGACAAATACCATATTTAATGCATGCCATGCTGATACAATGGCAAACAAACAGAGTAGAAAACATCTGGTTTTTTGATATTTACCAAACGGTCCTAATATCTCAAGAACTTCGTCAAACTTCATATCGAATGCACTGAAACAATGATTATAGTAGAATGAAATAAAACCGTAGTATACCGGCGTCTTTTGACTCCCAGTTCTTATCGATCTCAAAACACGCGTAGTTCAAATGCAGAGTACCGGGCCTAAATAAAGAAAAGCATCTACAATCTTCTTGACGGTGGTATTCGTCTTTTCGCACTTTATATACACGTTAATCTCAACAACAATATCGCTGTTACACATTGATTCATTAAAGACATTTGTTTCTATTTAATCCGTATCAGAATCCGTATTATGGTTATACTGTAAAAGCTTATCCGTTAACAAATCATCGTTCTACATGATAGAACATTTCATTGTGACAGTAAAATAATCAATATGGTGCTAATCATTATGAGTCAATTTTTAAAGCAGAAAGGAAAACGTTATCAACTGTTTTTTTTTTATCAATTGCTCATATATAGGCTAATATGTTAGCAGGTTATATAAAGGTCTAATACTTTATATAAAATGGAACTGATGTTCGCCTGTGTATCGGAAACATATAGCTTCAACTTTGTCTCTGTTATTCTACAATAACTTGACACGATTATGATCCAAATGTAACTTGGCATAAATGGTATTTGCAAAAGTGACGTAAAGTTAATAAAATTCAACGAGTCAATCTCAATTAATGTGACGGCCAGAAAGCAACATCCCAGTATATCCCACTTTAAATCTATGGTTTAGATATATGACCTTGAACATTTGCAAAAAATGCGAAAAAAATATATTATTGATCCATCGCTCATTGGTATGAGGTGTGGTTTGGATAAGATGCAGTATGTACATTTTCGTTTTTATCGAATAAGGGGAGGCAAATCACAACATTTTGAAGAATATGTCACTTGCATGACAATTTTACGGTTTTTTCTTTGTTGAAGGATATCAAACGTACACGGCTTATCAGTTCATATGATTGCCAGTTTAGTGATCCATCCAAAAAAGTAATAAAAGAGAGGAAAAAAACAAAAACCCACTCGTTACCTCTTCATTCTTTCTGCTCTAACTGTAAACAATCTTCAATTAAAACTATGACCTATGGTTACATAGACCTGTTAGTAAAACTTCTTTCTCTGAAATTTATCATCATGTTGTAAATAATGTAAAAGGTGACAGTTTAGACAGTTAAACACATACAAGTCGAACACAAGATTTATATAAACACAAGGCATTTTAGCAGTATTGTAGCCTACCTGTATCGCTTTTCAGAATGAAAATGCGACATCTCGTTCTTCTGCAATCATAGAAATCATACGGACGTTGTTAATCGAAGCTGTAATTAATACCATTATTACTTTTTGTAGTCGAAGCAAAGATTTGATATCCAGTCTCTAAAGAATGACGAATAGGCTACATGAAATTGATTCTCATCAGGAAAGCAATATTCAGAAGACTACATTCCCCAAAATGAAAATATGAAATTTTGTTGTTAGTCTCAAGTGTGTCAAATCCAAATGTTGTCAAATAAAAAGATCGCGAGTATTGTAACACACTCACATTGTCACATGACATCCAGACTCTGTCTATGACGAGACAAAGAGGGTTTGGATGATAGAGGCTAATTTTCATGTGTATTAAGAGTGAAAGTAGGCTAAGAATCGGTCACTGATCTATATAAATCATTTATATAGAATATCGACATAGGCTATGCATTAATTTACATGACATTTTACATACATGTGTTAAAAAGTCGAAAATCAGAATTAAAACTAGGTGTTATGATGAAAATCGGAATCTTTTGAAAATTTACCAACATCACAAAAGTTCCATTTATATAGACATAAGGTGATAAAAATAATGATATTACAATGTTAACAAAAAAACTGATAAGTCTGTATAGCCTACGAAAGGAAAAATAACACAATTCTTTTATTTTGAAACAGGCACATAATCCCCGTCAAAATATTACACTTACCTGTCTCGAAAGGCTTTTAGTCTGGTTGTCGCTTCAAATACTGTAAGTGTAGGCCTAAGTCCTAGCGCTCAGGATCGGCTGGAATTGGATTTGCTTATTCTAGGAAAGCACTAAACCGAGTCACTGCTTGCTGTTGTCCTTTTAAAATGTATTCAGAAACATGAATTTATGCATTCCTATTTCATACTTCATTTTATCTCTTTATAAGTAATGTCAACCTAACCCTATGGCTACTGTTGTTAACTTAAAGAAAATTACACTCAACTTCTCTTATCAGGCCTGCAGCCAGATTTGGGGTTGAGGGTGGGGCCGGGGGTGGGGCCGTGGTTGTAAGTAATTTATCCAGAGGGACAATGATCAATATTCGTTTTTTTTTCGGAGGGGGGGAGGGGGGGAGCATTGTCGTTGCCCGTCCTTAAGCTACGGGTCTGACTTTTATTCTAATGATTTTAAGAGGTATGTTCAGCTAGTTGTTTTATTGAAATATAAATATCTAGGCTAGAGGATTTTATAAACTCCCTTGATTGTGACGAACAACCTAAAAACTCCTGAAGTGCTGTTCAAAATAAAAGATGGCGTTCACAATAATGGCCTTTCACTACAATGACCAATTTGTCCTATAGCTTTGATATTAAAATACTTTGTAGAAATATAAAGTAGGTAGACCTATAAACAGAAATTTTTTGGTTATTTTATAGAAATAAACCATCTTATTCGTCATGTACGATCTTTCAAGTTGAAGGGTGGAAAATCCAAAAGGGCAGATTTAATGACCGTCAATCCTTTTGAAGAATGAAAAACAAAATACATGTACCGGTACCGTAACCATTTAAGTTAGATCTGACGTCCTAATGTTAGGCCTAATGTCAGTTATCAAATTAAAGGCAAAAATATGTCATAGATATTCTGAAAAACCCAAGTTATTATAGACTAGACATGTAAATATTATGGCCAGTAGACCTAGGCCTACAAAATGTCAAGGTGCCAAATTTCCAACAGCTGGGTTCAAAATAAAGATGGACGCCGGGATGGATCTGAACCGGCGTCCTATCATATTCTGTCACACGCACAAAAAACTGTAATAAATACATACTTAATACCGTTATTGGCGTTAAGCGTGTCCTGCAAAGCTATATAAAACTAATTGTAGACTCTTATTAGTCTAGACTCAAAGTGTACCACCTGTTTGTACTGAGTAACGTGTACGTTACCGGTACCGAAAACAAAACGAAATGTAGAAGTCATCTTACATTGCAAAAGCTACCCAGGACCAAGGTTGGAGTTTTTATATGTCACAACCGTCCATAGGTAATTCTATGACCACAACCAGACTTTGGAGCCTTCCTTATACTAAAAAGAACTGAGGCCTTTAGATTAGCCTAGGATAGTTTGAAACTGAGGCCAGTACTGAGGGCCAAAGTCCCAACATATAGCTGCACACTTATCTTATGAAACCTGAATATTCTGACTGAGCTTCAGAGGGATAAGATTTATTCTGCAATTTTTTTTCTCGTTTGATATTATACGACATCGGTCCATTAGCCACGGTGAAATTTATAGAAAATGTCTCTCACGCTCCTCATGGACAATAATTTTGATGAATTCTCTTGGGAAATGTTATAGTGGTCTGAAGCCAGGAAGTGGCAATATCACGTGACCTGTAGGTGTTCCCTTTCCTGCAAATAAAATGGTGGAATTTTTATAAATTTGCTCGATTTTGGTAAAATAACATTTCATTTAGTCGATATATCGAGTTCATTAACTAGTGTATTGCATACACTTGAAACAATATGTTATGCGTAAGCAGAATTTTGCCATGGCTTACTTATATCAAACCGGTTTCAGCCGATGTCAACCTACTTTATTTACTATCGACTCTTCACTTTTTACAACCCCTTCCCCTTCGGTTTAGTTAGATCTACTTATTTACATTTTAAAGAACCTTTAACAGTCAATGTAAGCTTTAAACAGAGATCGATAAAGGTATCGAATTGTTATATTCTTGAAAAGATTATGACATCAACAAAACACTCATTAGAGAGCAATGTGACTACTTCAGTAAAACTCTTTCATGTCACTGTCAGTGGCTGTTTCAAATGATATGTTGCTTGTTCTTTCATAATCAAATTCAATTCATTCTAAGCCTAACTACTGTCATCAGAAAAAAAGACAAAACCTTTCTGTTAACAAGGTATTTTCTGAATTTCTCATAGATTCTTAAATTTTATTTGTTTGGCAATGAACTATGTTCTAAAAAGAAACCACTTGCTCGGCATCATTCTCTGGTGCTTTTACAGAATTGTCTTTTGTCATTTATCTTTAGTGACTAGATTATTAGTTTGAAAGTATTATTGATAATCTCATAATGTGTTTGGAATAAAAATTCTTTTGATGTGATCTAAAACATAGGCCTATAAAATAGCTGTTTGGTGATAGCCTATTGAATATCTGTGATAAACTAATGTATGGGACAGATACATGGTTATACATTTATGCATGACTAGGATAATATTCATATTTGCTCTATAAGCTTATGATTTTTGTTTACAGATTTACTGTATTTGATATTCAATAATATTAGCTTATTTATAAAAATGTAAACAGAATGGTGCCAGTTGAATATGAGTAAGTTTTCACCCCTTTAAAATTTCAAATTGATGTTATTGAATTTCTATGATATGACTTACAACATATTTTATCATCATTATGGAAACATACATGCTATCAAATTAAGCAGTAGTAGAGTAGGTCTCTGTATAATTCGATGTGCATATTATGCAGAGGAAGCCATTTGGATGAAATCACTGGGGTGGAAATTGTAAATGTAGAAATCACTAGGGTGATTCACTGTATGATTGATATTCTCTAGGCCTTCTATGGAATACCTTGCTTTACACACAAATACTTTTTTTGAATAAAGAAATTGAAAGTGGATATTGATATAAATGTTGCTGCCATACTTAATTTTCGGATTATTTTTTATGATTAGCTTCTAGTAGTTTGTCTGAGATAGAGGAAGTGAAGAGAGCTAATAGAGAGAGGGCAGAGATAGTAGCTCGCTATGACAAGGTAACAGTTTTCACCTGTTAATTTCCAAAATAATTATGAACATGAGCACGGTGTAGTTTTTATCAAGGAGTCAGAGAATTGTTAGTTTTACACCATCTTAAATATGTAACTTGCTTGTCAACAAAAATATAAAGAATATACTGCATATCCACTTTATATTGTAAATGACACATGTTTTATTCATGTGCTTATCCTATTATCTCGAATGTCATTATTTATCTCAAATGTCATTGTTTACATATTATTGAATGGTTACTGATAAACAAACAAGTACAAATCTGATACGTTTACGATTATTTCAGGGTAGGGAAGAAGGGGCTCAGATTGACCCCTGGGAGGATCCTGCTTTTGAGGTGTACCATGTCACAGACAGATATGGATTCATCCAGTAAGTCACTTTTACAACCCAAATCTGGCTAGCTATACAAAACTGTCATGTTAACACAAATTGTCCTTGCCAAACTTCTTTCCTTTTAACTTTATGCTAAATCATAATGTTAAAAATCCCTCCACAGTTAGGAAACAAAAAAGAGTAGGCTAATGATGCTTTCTGTGCAAATTTTCCTTCATTGCACACTTCATTGTGTCATTAGTCAAATCAAATGCAAAAAAGTCAGACATTTAAGCTAGATCATAAAGTTCATGAAGAAAAATCTTAATTGAAAAACCATACATCAAATTATGATATCATATACATATTTCCTGTACACTGTTTATATAATAAACTATTTATTTTATAGTGACACACCATTGCCAACCATTACTGATGCAATTGAAGCCAAGGTAAAAATTTACTTTCTACATTTTTGTATGGAAATTACAAATAAAATGGGTAAAATGAAATTCAGAAAACTTAATGTGTTTCCTGTAATTCCTCTAAAACTAAGTGCTTGATAATAACTAATTGCTAAGGGCTTTATGTGATAAAGGATATTTAATGATAATTATTGATGTCATCATTTTTTGTGGAATTGAAGGAACCACAGACATTTATTGTTACCCAATGATCCTCACTATAACTGTACAGTGCAAGCATGTATGTTTAATTGTAGATGAGACAACATGAATTAGAAAGAACACAGAAATGGGTGAAAATGTTAAAGAATTGGGATAAATATTATCCTGGTGAAAAGGTAAAGGTAAAAGTACACAATGTTGATATTCATAGATGTTGTGTATATATATATTTATTTTTATTTGGCCACTACTTATATTGGATGATATGTAGATCCATCTATTTATATATTTTCCAGAGATAGCATATACAATTTGTTGATTTTCAAAGAATTTGTATGCATGTTTATACATGAGAAGTGAAGTTGGTTTTTGAAGGGAACTCAGTCTTCAAATTTGGTTATATTTTTTTTTTAGTTTGTAACAAATGTTGTTTGGAACTAGGTATAAATATGATGAAATTCGATCTAAGTTTGTCAGTCCAAGGTCCAAATTCTGTATAAATACTCTCATTTTAAAACATATGAAGGTTGTAGCCTATTCATTCCATGACAATTGATATTTCACCTTATTTGCCTAAACTAGATCTTAGAGGACATATCAGAAAGTTAGCTATGTTACTATAAATATAGTAAATAATCAATGTAAATTCACTCAATGCTGAGTTCTTGAAAGGTGAAAATTTTTTGGTCGGCTTGTAGGTTGTGGTATATTAATATTATTGGTAACTAAGAGTAATAAGTGTTATTTGAATATTGTAGTTTACAAGGAGAGTATATAAAGGTATTCCAGATAGATTAAGAGGTGAAGTATGGGTACGTTTACTCAATATCAATAAAGTTAAAGCTGAACAACAAGGTATATATCAGGTCAGTAATGCTTTCATATAATTTTATTCCTTAAGTTTTCTTTCAGCATCATTAACACTTTGTCAGTGAGGTAACAGGAGACTGAAAGAAATATGAGTTCAGTGGTTAAAACGAAGAATTTGGTGTTGCTGTAGTATGCTACCGACTCTGCATTTTAAAGATTCTTCTGGAGATGGAAGCTAATGCAACTCTCTTAGCAAAATTTCCTGCATTATGTACTGCATGATAAAGTCTAATCTAAAGCAGAAAAATAGATACAAATCTCTTGACCTGATTTTTTTCATTATTATTGTCATTGTAGAGAATGAGAAATAGGGCTCGAAATCGTTCCACAGCTATAAGACAGATAGATTTAGATGTAAATAGAACATATCGTAATCATATTATGTTTCGTGAGAGATATGGTGTAAAGTAAGTTATATAAAAGTTTGGTATTTTTCATATATTTCAATTTATTTCAATTTTTTGATACACATGTTTTTAGCAACTGTTATGATAGTGACATTATAAAATTATGTTATAATAACTTGTGGAATATGTATGACTAAATGTTTGAATGGTGCATATCAGTGTCCCTGATACACAAAGAAAGTTTAGAAAACCCCTTTACTATTCCTTTAATAGTAAACAGAATGTGTTGTCAAGATGTTTGACTACAAATAGGTCTTACTATTGAAATTTGTATTAGACATGTTTCACATTACACACTACGTTGAGTAAATAGCAAACATAAGCAATGTTATTATAAAAGATTTTATTTTTGTTTTTACAGACAGCAAGCCTTGTTTCATGTATTAGCAGCGTATTCTGTATATAATACTGAAGTAGGATATTGTCAGGGTATGAGTGAAATAGCAGCTGTATTACTCATGTATCTTAATGAAGAGGTAGAATTATTGATTATTATTTACCTGTCACTAGATGTACTATCAGATACTGGGATATAATAACAGTAGTATGCTTAGTAATTGCTTCCATTCAGTTATATTGTTTTGTAATATAAGGCAAATTACATACTTGTTATTTATTGCATTGTCAGCAAATGATCTCACTGTGACATAGTACTCCAGAGCCAGCATTCCCTGTATATAACTGCATAACTCTAAATATTAAAACAGAACTTGAATAATGTTGTTACTCAGAATTACAGGTTATGCGATCTTCAGACAACCATATGCATAACTATTCAAATCATCTTTACATAATAATTACAGCCAGGTTGGAAGCATGTCTGATCAGTGCAAATGGCAGCGAGAACATGCTGTTTTTAAGAGAGTTGCATTCTTGGCAGAAGTGCTACTTCTAGATGGATTCATACACATACAACAATAAAATATAATGACACTATATATGATATTGAGAAATTTACATTCAGGCATTGACTTTTAAAATGAATTATGTTGTATATTTATTGTCTCTATTTAATACTAGGATGCATTCTGGAGTTTATCTCAGTTATTTGTTAGTGATAAACACACAGTGCACGGTAGGTTACAATTTTTCTATAATCTTACCTTAACTATTCCTATTTGAACAATACATTACAATTATAATTAAAATAATATTTTCATCCAGTTTATAAGAACACTAGTAATTTTTTGTTTGAATATATTAAAAAATATATGATATCGAGTTTTATTTTTTTTACAATGCCTCAATGAAATGAAACTGTTTTTTTTTTTTACAGGATTCTTCATTCCTGGTTTCCCTAAACTCTTACGTTTCCAAGAACATCATGATGCAATCTTAAAAAAGTTTCTACCAAAATGCAGGCGCCATTTGGTAGGTTTTACTTCACTTTCACTTTGTTAGATGAATTATTGAGAGTGCATGAAGATTTCAACTATATGTCCAAGACTTGTGAAGTAATATTTATATTATGAAAATTGAATTGTTGAAAGTAAATGCTGTAATTAAGAATTAAGGTTATTCTGTTTGGTTTATAATCAACACTATTAAACTAGATGAAAAATAAAAGATAATCAAGTAATTTTGAAATCTGACAAGAGGTGACGTACAATTTTCATTAATGTTATTTATAGCTCCTACTTTATATTCAACATTTCTGTGTTATTGTCACTATAGTTATGTCATAGTTCTAATGAAAACTGTACACTGGTACCATTGGTTTATTAGAGTAGATTGAAATAGAGGAAGAATATACACCATTAATACTTAATAGAATGATATCAAGATATTTTTATGACTAATGACAATGTGCTTTGTGAATTGACAGATATTTTAGCTTGTAATGTGTAGTGACATGTTGAAATCCCATTCTAATGAAATTTTAATTTATGATGTTATTTTTGCAGGAGAAAAATGATATATATGCTTCACTGTATACTATTAAATGGTTTTTACAATGTTTTTTAGATAGGGTGAGTTGGATCAGGTATTTTTCTCTCACAATATGACTAATTAAAATTGACCAAGTGTTTTTGTGCTGTAAAGCATTATGTCCAATCTGTATGAAATGCATCCATAGAACTAGGATAGGAATATCAAAACAGAACCTGAAACATGTTTTTGCTCAGAGTTTTCATGCTGTTTGATCTTCAGCCAACTAACTGTTGTCAGTCCCTACTGAAGTTGGAGAAGTAGCACTTATTCTGTACTTAGTTCAAATCATATGTTTAAGGAAGTGTGCTAGAACTGTATGTAACTGTTATGTAATTAACAAAGTTCCCTAAATCATTGATCATTTAAAATTGTGTGAAAATGCATAATATGTGTTGATTCTAATTTTAGATACCATTTCATTTAACGTTGAGATTATGGGATATATATATGTTAGAAGGTGATAGATTACTAGTGGCCATGTCATATTGTATCATTAAAATTCATAAACGTAAGTTTCATTTGTATATACTGTCAACCCATCTGCAATTCTTGGATAGGGTCTATGGTTTTTATCCAATCTTTATGAAACTTACAATTCACTAAAGAGTTTTGAGTTATAACACTACAGTCTATAAGTAGCTTCAAGATGGATCATTCAAGAATAAAATTGGTATTAGTTTTTTATCAATCTTTTAATTTCAACTATGTTGAAAAGGAAAGTACTAATAGTGCTCTTCCTACTGTGAATAGCATGACTTGAATTTGTGTTGGCACAATGTATGTATGAAACATTTGTGTGGTCTATAAATGCAAGGAAGGAAATGCACAATAGTTGAAATATTTTGTGGTCCATATAATTCTTTATTTTACATTTATTACAGGAAGAATTAATCGTATGCAAATGGATGATTTATTAGAGTTTTTTCAAAGTAAATTAGAAAAAGATTTTGTCTATGAAGATGATGTAGTTATTGAACAGTTGCAGATTTGCATGGAAGAGTTAAGGAAAGCAAGAATGGATATACCACCAAAATCTAAAATTAATGAAAGACCAACATTACCTTTTGGTCTGGAAATAGAACCAAGCATAGAACAGTTGATAGGCCATAGATCAGCTGAAACTGTTGATGAACATTTCAGAAGCAATCCAAAAGGTGGTAAAGCTGCCTATTTACGTAAACGTAATGCAAATTTATCAACTCCAGAACTTTCCCGAAGTCGTGGTGATACACGTTCTCTACAATCCAGTAGATTTTCAGAATATTCAGTGGATGATAAGTCATCATATTATGATACAGCAGCCAATTCTCGAGTATCATTAGCCGACTTCAGTGGACGTACATCAGTACCAAGTTCTAGAACATCTTTTGCTGATGCATCTGATGTAACTAGTATGAATTTACATCTAAATATAACAGAAGATGATATGATTGATTATGACAATACAGCTACACCAGTACCTGCTACCACACCAGAAGAGATCAGATTAGATATGAATAAACATCAGAATGGTGTGGAGGGTGATTCCGATACTAAGTCTGCCTCAGTAGCCTCGGATTATGATAATATTAATGGTATGATGATTTGTGATGAAAATGATACTATGGTTGTGAATGACTATGATGGTAGATTTCTATCAGGACTACCACTCAGTAAATCCGATGGTTTGATCACTTTTTCGCGTAATAGTCAAACAACGTTTGTGAATGGTCGTGATGGAACACTAACACGTCAATTAAAGACTACTAAAACTGATCACGATATTCAAAATTCTGGGTATACCGAGCGTAACGAACACAGAGAAATGGATACACAAAATGGGTATTTTATTGAAAAGAACTACAGCCACCAGAAGTCTGAAAAAACCACAACACATACCAAAACTGTTCAATCCAGAACAGTAAAAGAAACCATGCTTCTATAATTTGATTGCATTTATTTTATGATACTCTTATTTTATAACTGGTGTTCATTAATCTTGATTATAGATCTTAGTAATATTATGTAATTATTTGATATTTAATTAGTTTGACCTTACAATTTATCCGCCTGCTAATATTATGTAAAGCTTCAACTTGTTGCAGTCAGATACTTTCTTATAGAACTTAGATTGTGCCATATTGATAGGCCTAACTGTTCGTCTGTTGTCTAGGAAATTGGACCTTTGGGTGTATTTGGTTCAGATGGACTTGAGAACATATTTGGTTCAGATGGACTTGAGAACATTTTTGGTTCAGATGGACTTGAGAACATATTTGGTTCAGATGGACTTGAGAACATATTTGGTTCAGATGGACTTGAGAACATATTTGGTTCAGATTTTTGATCGTATTTGGTTCAGATTTTTGATCGTTTTTGGTTCAGATGGATTTTATATCGTATTCGGTTTAGGCAGACTTTAGGACATAATATAATTGGTTCAGGTGGTCTGTAGGACATATTCAGTTTAAGTCGACTTTGGGACATATTCGTTTAAAGTTGATAACAACTTATATATTTATAAAATATAGAAACCATTTCCTATTATAATTGTTGATAAAAAAAACACGGTAGGGTAACTTTAGTTCTTTTAATTCCTTTTACATTCAAAACCAAAGGTGATGACTTTTATTGAAATGATCATATGAAAAGGTTCCTTACACTAAAACAGTTGTCCATGTAAGATGTTTCGAACTTTATCATCCGCTGTCCTGATAAAATGGTCTTGATAATTCTATCAATAAAAGAATGAGACATCAAATAGCTTAGGAGCAGAACAAAACCAGTTTTATTTGTTATTTTGATATTACCAATCCAATGTCAAGGTATTACAAACTCTGTTCAATACCTTGATATCATAAGGCACTTTTGAAATTAGTAAAAAACAGCAATTTGATTGGATTGTAAGGTAGAGAAAACAGTCAATCAAATCCCTCAGCAGAGTATGTAAGTAACAATCTAATCAAACTGCTGCATTTATGTACTACCATGATTCAAGAAAAATGCCTAATGATATCAAGGTATAAGACTGAGTTTGTCATACCTTACCTGAGTTGATTTATTTGTATATAAGTATTTATAATAAGGTGTAAGATTGTATTTTATATTCACATATCTCTATTATTGTATCATATTACAACATAATATTCAACACTCTAGCTTCAATCAAACTTCTAGTGCTAACTAGCCTAACGACTTCATCAGGTACTAGGTTGTGTTTTTGATGTTATATATGGTTATGGTAAATACATCAGGGTTTAGGATATCATCAGTTATAAGTCATAATTACCAGTAATAGCAGACTTACAGTCTAAAATTTGTCTGAAACTTGCTGATTCTTATCTGGGACACTGATATCATCAGATGTTTGCACCATTCCAATTTTCAATCATCGCGATAAAACATGTCATTAAACACCTAGTTTTAGTGGAATTGCAGGAACCACAGATGTCTGATTGGAAATTGGAATGGTGTAAATTGATGCTGTCAGTGTCCCTGATACACATAAATCTTTAGAAAACCTCTTTACAATCCATTTGATGGCTCATTCCCTCAGATTCCATCTATTATAGTACAGTATAGAGGACAGTAAGTGAATCAGCATGTTTCAGACCATCAATATTGGCTATCAATATAATTGTTTTGCTATTAAATTTGCTAATTGTAATCTTGCCATTAAAAATTAAAATTTGTTAAGGTACTTGAAGAAATTTGTTAAATTATGAATATTTACTCCATTATTTTATTAGAAATAGATTTTAGTTGGCTTTGAATGTGTCACACAAAATAGATTAGAACTTTTAGAAGTCTAGTTTGACTTGCAGTATGTTTAACACTGTATTAGTTATATGATATATATGGTAATTATAAATAGAAGTAGTTGGAAATGTAATTATGTATATAACATGTAATATGACTCATCAGAGGTTTTCTAGCCTTTTTATAAATTTGGGTTTAAAGATTCTATTTACACTCAGTCTGATTTTCTGATATTTTTATTTTTAATTGTAATCTAACAAGTTTCTACTGCAGTACTGTTCTTATGACATTACGAGTGACCAATCAAAGCCTTTCATGTAGGTATGCATGTAGGACCCATTTGTTCATTACTATGATGTATTGTGGGACCTGAAGAGGCTGATATTGCTCTAATTTTGTTTCTGCTTTCCCACAATACTGCTATCAAGAAACAGTTCCTACATTACAGCTTTGATCGGTTATAGATATAGACGAAAAATAACAGAAAAAATGAAAAGAAACAAAATTGTAATCTTTTTTTGATAGATTGATTTATAACATTCTTATTTCAACCATTTAAACTTGGTTTTTGCAATAGTGACAAAGTATCTTTGATCAATTTTGATACTCATAGAAAGGCTAGAAATCTGAATCTCTTCAAGATGATGTCAAACCTATTCTATATTTAACAATTAAGATTAACATGTATTTGGAATATTGCAACTGTACTGTTTATATGCAGGATTTGTGAGGTCATCAAGCCAAGAACAACATTAATAAAAATGCATGTTTGTTAATGATACATCTGTAGTGTATTGTACAGCAGAACTCTTTTTCCCGCTAAAAATATAGAATAAGGTTTGACATTAACTGTAGATAAAGGATAATTTGGTGCGAACTAGTAGTGCGAACACAATTGTAGTATAGATTTTAATTTTTAATTTAGTGCCAACATTTTTTTTGTTATTTTATAGGGCTTATGCTATGGAGTTTGCTCAAGCAATATCATTACTTTACATATTGCAATGTTACGAAGAATAATGGAGGTCAAGAAGTATATTTTGATAATAATAATAATGATAATAATGATAAATGCCAGGATGACAAGCTCTGTGATAAAATAGAATTTTTTCTTGTCTTTCATGATGTGAATTGTGTTGAACAGTTTTCTGGCCATTGTGGTTTCTGAATTGGACTTTGTATGTTAATTATCTACTTATAACTTAGAATCTAACATATGCTGTCATTCAATATGTCATGTGATGGTGAAATTTCATAACCATTAATTGAGTTGCTTTATTAGAAACTTAAGCCTATACTGAAAAAGGGGGTTAAGTTTTAAGTTAAATGATGAATCTGAACAAAAGACTATCAAAAGAAAGATAAAATGTTGAAATAACTTTATTTCTGAAACCATAGTGGTTAGTGAGTAACTATTTGTATTAGATTGAATTAACGTTTTAATGTGACTTTGTATCAATAAGTCATGGTCTAATATACATGTATCATATTGAATTCATATCGGACATTGGTGCCAACTATACAATAAATAATCCTTAAACAACATTTAGGGGTAGAGATCACATTAAATAACTGAACACAATAATATGGTATACTACTCCTTAGTTTTATTTTATTATAATAAAGTACCTGTATTCCAATATAATGATTATATTAAAGGGATTGTTAAAGAGGTTTTGTAATTTCTGTATGTGTATTGGGGACACTGATAGCATCAATTTGTACCATTCCATTATCAGTCAGACGTTTATGGTTCCTGCAGTCTTACAAAAATGTTTGATAACTTCACTAATCTCAAAATATGCTTGTATCACATAAAGCCCTTTGCAATTACTGATGTTATCAAAACACTGAATTTGAGTGGAATTGCAGGAACCATTAACAAAACCTCTTTACAATCCCTTTAAACTTAATAGATTATGATAATTGACTTGCTATAACCATCTAGGAAGGGCATGCTCACTAATTTGGAACCCTGATTAATATATAAAAATAAACATTTTGTATAAAAATAATTAACAATGATTAATTTGTTTTTCAGCTATTTAAATCACACAATGTCAATACCAAAAGCTTTTAACTATAAGTAGATTTAAATCCTATTAATTGCTAGCTAGTATAATTATATTTACATGGTTTATGGTATATATTAAACATATTTTTTCATCAAATAGCCAATTTTATATTTTCAAACATCAAGTCATATGTCATTATAATCCTAAAGTTTATGTGTTCTATTTTATATGATTGCTCCTATATGTTTCATTAAGCTAATTTATATATATATATGTGCAAGATATTCTGGCATTAGGAAAGAGAACCTTTATCTCTTTATTTTGTTTGTCTTTTAATAGTATTCATTTTCACTGGCCACACGTATTAATTTATTGTTGATTAGTGATATTATTATGGTTTATTCTCTATCTATGCACACAATTTGTACTAGCAAGATATATATTGTACTCAGTAGTATATTTAGTGAAATTTGTACAGAAAGTTAACCATTCTACAGGTCATCCTGTCATACCCAGAGTTATTTGGTATATACCTATCACCCTGGGGTAACTCACTCATTCATATTCTAGAAAAAAATAAGGTTTGCTAGAATCCAATATAAATTCAAAACATGGGCATTGTTTTAAAACAAAATGAGTAATCTATTTCATAATTTGTAAAGAAACAATTTTTCCAGGGTTAAGATATGCAGTTATATGTCAGTGGGTATCCCACAATGCAGGATGACAGCTCTGTGAATAGTTGAATGATTCCAAACCTGTGTATATTTCCCTTGAATGTTGATAAGATACATGTAGATGTATCCTGTGGTTTGTTTCAAAATATAGCTAGAGCAGTCTATTTTATATGTAGGTTGTGTAAGTGGTAATTAAAACTATGAAAGGTTAGAAAGGTTCTTCTAACTATTTCTTCTACCTAAAGTGGACTGCTCTGGCATGGATGAGCAGAAATATCTTTGTTTGACAGATTCAAAACATAGAGCAGTCCATTTTATATGCAGGTGGCAAATATTAAACAATGAAAAGATTACATAGTCTCTTTAACTATTTATTGTTCTAAAAAAAAATAGACTGCTCGTGTCTTTTTTTTGAATCGCCTGAAGAAGCTGAAATAATGGTGAGCTACCAATCTTATCAAATTAAATTACAAGTTTGTATCTTTTTGCTTTCTGATGTTCTAAGTCTACAGTGTAATCTCTGAAGATTTTCTATCAAAAGTTTTTTTTTGATAAAATGAGGAACTGTGGGAGCAAGACTGAACAAGGCTTTACTTTAGGTTTCGTTATCCCACAGCTACCCCTATTGTATCAACAAATGGGCTCAACATAACACGGTTTGATTGGTTTATAACATAAGAAAACAAAAAAAATACGAAATTGTTGTCTAGTTTTAAGAAGATGGGTGTGATATAGCTGGAAGCCAGTTCTAGTTGATGTTCACAGAGTTAATTCCCAGTCTAGTATGATATATATATATTCTGGTTGTGTAATAAATAATATAATAATCTACTGTATATTTGTATTCAGTTGTGTATATTTTTTATTCTAGTTAGAATAATGTCATCGAAATTATCGTCATTATAATTATTATTATTACTCTTAGAAAATAAACTTCACAGAATAGACTTTAATTCTAAAATCAAGTGTGTGTTCTATTTTGGGTATTGATAAACCTGTTGCTATTAATCCACCTGAGATTCAAAATTTGACTTGGAAGATCGAATTGCAGGCCTAAACATCTCACATTTGATGTGTTGCACAGGTAATATTACTAAGCGGTTGGAAACTAGACCGTTAAACAATGAAATAAGATATGTCCTCACATCTAAGGCATATTTCCGAAGACAACCAGAAAGACTGAACATAATAAATCACATTGTCATGACTTTGCTTAGATGACCTGAGGATATTTTAGGAAATCTAGAAAAGCTTTTAGGAGAGAAATCCTATGATTTCAGGAATAAGCTAGACAACCAGTCCATTTGCAGCCAAAAATTGTTCAGTAGAAACTTTTTGCAGAATGACAATTAACATCCATGATATTCTTTCACAATATGATCTGGGCATTGAAAGGATCAAATTACCTATGTGGATATGTTTATATTAATTCATTCTACCATACCTTCAATAAAATTGACTTTCAATAGAAGAACTAGATATATAAACATCTGATTTAATATATATAAATAACAAAATAACAATACAATAACTTGACATGAACGAATATATATATAACATTTACAGTAATCTAGAAAGTGTGGCACTGTTGCTGTTTCGCCCCCCTACCCTTCCAGTGAAGCTATAGTTGGAAACTTGGAAAAGACGTACTAATATGTGTCCTGAATATTCACAGCAAATTTCAGACAATTCCGACGCTTCCTTTCATTTTAAATTAATTTTGAACTGACTGAAATTTTTCCCGATAATAGCGAAATGGCACAGGGACGCAACTCTTTAGTTTAGTCGTACATGCTTTGCCAAATCATTCAGTCTCGAGTCATTTCGTCAATTTGGATTTTTACTCCGATAATAAATAGTTGAAATTAAGCTTTTCGGCTGGAAAAGCAAATGTTTTAATGACTATGCTCTAAGCATGTGATGATTTTCTTAACTTTCTCATGGTGTGTTATTTGGGTAAAATTACATGTCAGCATTTATTTTTTATCACTTATTAATTTCAAACATCTTAACTTTCATTTTTCATTTTATCCACGATACAAATATGTAGAAAGTTGTCAGGATAACTAAAATGTTCACTTAACCAGAGTATAGGAGTTTCTAATGGTGGTTGTATACCTTGGATTAGTAGTATCTTCTCTGAGGAAATATCTATAAAAAAATATAAGAAAATGGTTTTTACAATTATATAATGTTAAATAATTCAAATATATTTGCAGTATTTTAAATAGTATTAGATGCTCTTGATAAGGCTAGCAGCATGCAAGTATTTTTAAATTACTGTCCTTATTACAGAAGAATATTCTTGTTGTGCACTTCTCACTTCTATTGAGTCAAAATATTTGGGAAGTCGACCCTTATTTGCAAACAAGATCTCCTGTTGAGGATTGCTTACCAGAAACATGTATCAGTACTATTAAATAGCTTATATAAATTCAATGGAATTATGACATAAAAAATATCAGTGCTAATTGTACTTACACTTATACTAATTATTAATATTAAATACTTATAAAAAATAAAACATTTACCTGGGTTAAAACATAACTCATCATTATCAAATGTTTTAAGTAAATCACGTAATGTTTGAACTTCCCCATCATCAGACACTGGTTTAAATAGTTTCTGTATATAGGGTCTATCATTCTAGAATAGGAATATAGTGAAGAGCAATGAGCAACACAAAATAAGCTACTTTTGAGAGTGTCAAATTGTCACTGAATGTCAGGAGTTATCTGAAGGCTAATACTTACATATCAATAGAAATTAGAGATGTTCTTAAAAAAATACCAGTTTATCTCACAAATCTATGCTAATAAAGGATAATCAATTAGTTGCTTATTTAATACCACAAGGCATATAGTTCATAGAGCAATATTGATAATACACATGTAACTTATATTATATACCTTCACATACCTGATAAATTCTATATGGAATATATTTAAATGAATCATCACCAGAGGATTCCATTAATTTCTTATTTACAGACCAGAACTGTTCGAATTTATCTGCAAAAGACACATACCATAAACTCCACCCACTTAAGCATTTAAACTTCATGAAACTATTACTAAGTTTCAATGAAATTTGTTAAAAACTTTAGTAATAAATATTCATAATGAAAGGTCTACAAAAATAAGTTCAATGCTATCATGTTGCACGTTGAATTCATTCATGAAAACCAGGGACTGGTCTCTAGGCTTTTAAAAATTTGGCATATTCATTCAATGCGTAAAAATATTCAAAATTCAATCATTTCAAATATCATCTTATTTTTCACACACACACCATTTTGTAGACCAGTCCAAAGTTGTTTATGATCTTTTTTCTGCATATTATTCACTAATTGTCCTCTATGTTTTAAACCATCTGCTTCTTTTACTACAGACATAAAATGGGATTCAATAGCTTCTTTAGCTGGACAGTGAAGGAGCTCTTCTTCTGGGAATGCCTAGAATTAATGTAAGAACTGAATCATATTCAAAACAATACCATACTGTAAATGAGAAAGAAATATCAAATGAACACTGAATTCCTTGACATATTTTGAAATAACTATATCATGGTCTATAGGTATGATGTCCTGCTATAATTGTTTGTAAATATAGAAGAGTAACCTTACTTGAAAATGAACAGTAATGTTCCAAGGTAGACTGTTGGAATTAGCAAATAAATCAAATAGAACTCCTACAGGATAATGCCTGAAACATAGGAACAAATTTTTATACTGATTAATTAATTACCAGTATTACAACCAATTTTAACCTGATTGCAGGGGTTCCTTATTTAAATTGAAACATTTGATAATCAATTTGATCATCAGATTATATTATGAATTTGAATATGAAAATTTTGAAAAATCATATTGACTTGCCAACTGAACTGCTATGTGATAATGCTTGGAATCATGGAATACAATATCTATTCTAAACTATCACACTTACTGATTATGTTTTTATGCCTTTCATTAAAAAATTGTGCGTATATCACATTATAGTATAGTCTAGATTCTAGAAGAAAATTACCATTTCAAAGGCTGGCCCTCATATTCTAGCCACATTTCACCATGTTTATCTGGATCAACACTAGCTATAAAATGACGTTGAACTTTATCTGTGACCAAAGGAAAATAAATTTGTCTTGGTACCAGTAACTGAAATATTATAATAAACCGTTACTTATCTACACAGTTCTGTCTTTATCAGTTTGGGAGAATCTTTCTAGAATCTTGATGCGTAGCAGTATGTTAATCCTGTGCATCTATGTGATCCTGATAACGGCATTCCAGTCAGCACTTATCTAGCTGCCTTCAACAAGTACCAAGAGCATCTTGGTTACACAAGGGAAGATAGATAATTCCACATAAGACCTTTGCCTTTCCAAGTCAATATTCAGTGTTTATCCAAATTTATATCTCAATAAATTCTAGGTTTGTAATGCTAGCAATGAGATCAAATAAATCAATGTTCTGTGCATAGATCTTTATGGTTAGGCATTTTTGACAATGGAACCCTGGTTGCAAACTTACATAATATAGATCTGGTGGTTCTCCAGTATAGATTTCTTCTTCAGCTAGAGAAAAACAGACTGGTATTCTTCCTTCCCATATTTCTCTTAAAACTTCCCTATCTTCAGCCATTGTGCATTTATTACCTAAAACTAAATTGCGTACAAATCTATTTGAAAATATCAAAGGGATATATTCCATTGATTTTTTTTTACTTTTGAGCATCTGATTCAGTCAATTCTATCAGATGTTCAAATGAAGAATTTAATGATTATATCTCGTTAATCATTATTTCTCAACCCTTAGTTTAGAGCTGTTGAAAGTAACATTTCCTATCCTTATAATGAAAATAAAACAATATGCAAATGCTAAATTGAGAAAGGTGGGAACTCCTCCTTGAAACTGGTAGCAATTTATAATTTGTTTTTCTATGAATAAATGGGTTTCGGTGACTGTAATATCTTTTGGTTGATATCAAACCATTAGTATTGTAGCAGTCTTGGAGTATCAGTCCTGTATCAGGCAGAAGGACTACACATGGTAGGCTATAACCTTTGTAGGTGTGTTGATGTTTAGAGAGAGGTCAATGGAGGATAGTGCATGAAAATATATAGGAACAGTCTATTATAATCTATTATAATATTACAGTTAAAAAGCTTAGTCTATTACAGGTAATTGGCAATACTATGACAGTGACAATGGTCCAAAAAGCTTAAAGATCGTATGTAATTATGTCAAAACCTCTGTCACTACTTTGTGTCTGTGGAAAAATTGGAGGAAAAGGTTTGAGTTTTTCGGACTAAGAAGAGACCGTTCTTAACCAAGAAGATTGGGCACTCAACATTAGATGAAAAAATCACTAGGCCTAACAGAAAATAATCATCAATTGAAAATCACAGTAAGGCTAAGTCATAGAAATATTAAACTACCGAATTAGAGTCAATAGAGAACTTAAAGGAAGTTCTATTTATTTACATTCATTCGGTCTATCATGGACGTCACTAATTTGCACCCTATCACGCACGAAAATGTACGACTGCACACCAATCAAATAATGCAAGCTTAAAATTTGTTTCTCATTTGTGCATCACTACTTAAAACTAACAATAATTGTTTACAGCATGAAAAATATCGATTTGCATTCTATCATTCTACAGTTTTACACACCGCAGTATGTCTATAATTATTACAGAAGTCTTTTTATTTAACTCCAGGCTATTTTCATTTTTATAAATAGAGAGTTCGATTTCCAAGAACATGAGAAATTGTAACATCCAGACTACAATTGTTTCTTACATCCAGACCACAATTGTTTCTTATATACTGATGTGTATAATACACAGGGCATAGTTAGAGCAAGGGTATTGTATATGGATTAATGTAATTTATTATGTTTTAAGTAAATTAACCATCACGAGTAGAATATCTGACAGGGTTGAATATGTGACAGGATTCCATATGCATAGGTCTAAGCTGTGCATAGCCTACTCTAACTTTTCACACTGTTAACATTGTTCAAAAAATTACCCCATGGACCAAATATTGTGACTGAGTGTTCTAGCTGTAGGTCTAATGTAGATGCCTTTTGCATCTAAATGATCCAAGATTTTGAAATAATTTAATACCCCACAGATAAACTTTTTATATGCACCAATCAAATTAATCCTGTCAGCATGCTTGACAACATTACCGTTCTCTCCATTGATTTCTTACCCAGATTTGTTTTATATTGTTGACATATAGTTTTTCAGTAGAGGTTCAACTGCCTCGTCTTCTATATCCACTGACTGATCTTAATCTTTCCAAGTAGGCTCTACCACTTTATTTTCTTGCTTGTCTGCTAAACTTCCTTTATTTCGATTATAGCTTTGTCCACCTTTTTGTACCTGGTATCTGTAGCCTATCCAAGTATTTGACAGGACCCCCCCCCCCCCCCTCCCAAAATTTTATGCAAGACTGCAAAGCGCCTCAATACCAACCTAAAATGCCAAAATTACCCCCAGGTTGAAAACCCTGTCTCTATCTCATATAGTTATTAGAGTAAACATATTACCAACACCATAACGTGGGTTGTTATAAACAAGGGGAACTCTGGCGCGGTTTACGATGATCATGCTTGTCCTTTGCTATAAATACTGTTGCTTTTTACTGTGAGAAGCGTTTTTGGTGTGATGTTGGAACAGTTTACTACGAATACTATGATTAAATAACCATTTCTAAATTACCTGATCAAATTTCCATGTGGGCGTATAAAAATCAGCTTCCTACATTTTCCATTAAGTTTTATGTTCCTTCATTTGACCCCAAAATCATCAAAATCGTATAAGCTGAGAAAGCCAAATTTGACGCGTTCTTACTAAGTCAAGGGCAATAATTCTGAAACCATTCTTCCGATTATTACTAATTTCGAACTTGACCGAAATCTCATCAATATATACATGCATACCAAGTTTCATCAAGATCGCGCCTACAAGAAATGTGAACGGACGGACGAACCGACGGACAGGGGCGACGGCAATATACGTCCACATTTCCACGTGGGCGTATAAAAATCAGCTTCCTATATTTTCCATTAAGTTTTATGTATGTTCTTTCATTTGACACCAAAATCATTAAAATCGGATAAGCTGAGAAAATGAAAAACGTGTGCTAAAATCATATTTTTTATTAATATTACGAAGACAATGCAGTGCGTTCTGTGCACTGCAATAAATTGATTGGTTGATTGATATACACAAGTACTTCATTTTATCTCACGGTAGAAAAGTTTTCACTGTCCCCATGATTTTTGTTCGACAGACTGGACAACTTTGTAAAGAGCTAGCACATTTTGAACAACATACTAAATGAGCACAGGGTAATATAAGAATAGTTTTGGGTTCGATCGTGCAGATAATGCACATTTTCTCATCTCTTAACTTCTCATTCTCATCTTTCAGAGCATCTACATAATCAAAATCAAAGAAATTAAGCCATGTGATCAACGTTACTCCTGAACACAATTTGTTTCTAGAGCTATTCAAATTTCCATATCACTATTAATTGTTCACCAACAATTATTACAATAAAGCGCAAGGAAGTGCGTTCTTTGCAGTATACGAAATCTCGCGTTTAATATTTACCCTAATAACAATTAGCCATAATACCAAAACTGATCCAACCTACATTCAACAATAATTGTACGATGACGTATTCTTTTCACATTCTAAAAAGCTTCAAAATTCATGTCTTTTCTCGAAACGCTCAAAAACCATACAGATGTTTTAATACTTTCTAATCAAACATACCTGTTTCATGTGTATTATTAGGTATTCCAACATTTAGAACATCTTCATCCCAGTTTGACACAGGAGCTAAAATATAACAAATACAATGTGACGTAACCTTGTTATAAACTTCAGATCTGTCTAGGAAAGGAGAAGTAGTTGGCACACATATCATGATGATAAGTTTGAACAGTTAAATCGTGGAAACTGTATATGAGTCAAATTTTGATAAATATACTCAATTGGTCATGCAAATTCGAACTTTAAACATGGGCCATAATTTAATCTATATCTATCTACTGGCGTTTCGTGGGCGAATAAACAAAATAAATTAAACAAAATAAATTAAACAAGATTAAACAAAATAAATTAAACTAACCTGTTTCTTTGTCTCCCATTAACTGCCATAAAATATAATATAATATAAGAATGTTATATACGCCCAGTGGCAGTTTTGAATAAGAAAAGGCAATAACTCATACTAAATATTTTTGGATTTTTCTGATTTTCAATAGGGTTTATCCTTTGGTGATAACAAACACTCATGCCAAGTTTCGTCAAAATCTGTCAAGAATTGTGCCTTCTAGATTGTTTACGAGCTAAAAATTGAACGCGTTTTCAAGAACAAGGGAATAACTCATACTAAATATTTTTCGATTCTCCAGATTTTCAATAGGGTTCATCCTTGGGTGATTAAGAACACTCATGCCAAGATTCGTTAAAATCCATCAAGAATTTTGTCTTGTAGAGTGTGTACGAGCAATTGTAGACGGACGGACGGACGGACGGACATGGGTGACGGCAATATACGCCCCCATTTCACGTGGGCGTATAAAAATGTGCAACGTGTCACTGTCTACGGTGCAAGTTTTACAGCTGTTGGATTGTTCATTGATAATATACTGTCATAAGGTGTTATACGCATTGCAGAGTAACAATCGAAAAGTGTTACAGAGATATTTACACCCGCAAGAGTGTTACATGAGCGCCATTATCGGCGTTAAGCGCACTCACACGTCTCAGAGTGTTGTTCTTTACTCATAATTTGCCTAAAATTTGCAATTTTAAATACAGAGTAACACTGAAAATGCCAATTTCTTTACGTGATCGATCCAGTCGATATTTTAAACAGACAAAATAAAATAAATAACATGTATACTACATCTAAACTTATGCGTTTGAGTATATAGATATTCACACTGTGCAGAATTGTTTTAATATCAAAATTTGAAAATGGCGTGTTCTAATCGGCGATCTCATGTCGTCAACCACTTGTGTGTGGGTATTTTATAAATGGAAGTGATTTTGCAATAGTGCAGAAATTAGATATTACAAAGACAAAATACTATACTATTTCTGCTAAATGAAATGGATATTCTTGACTGAAAAAACCAAATGTCCCTATCAACGCCATTTCTAGTGTAATACTACACTAATTAGAGCGTTCAGGAACATCCGAAAAATGTATATATAACACTGGTTAATACAAGTGACAAAATAAAATTTCAGAGGGAAAGAAAAGAATTGTGCCATTGCTGTGTGGCGTAGAAATCTTGAAGTTTTGAAGAGAAACGAAATCGGAAATCCAAATCACTTCACATGCGACACAATTTTTCCATATTTATGTGAATTACATGCTTTCTTTATTTATAAGGATTCTTTATAGGACGCGTTCACCAAAATCATCCTTAAAATGAAAAGTAAACTTACAAATGTCTTAACAGTATCAGCGACAAACTGTTTTCCTTTAACTTGTGAAATATATGAACATTCAGGTGACTTTAAAGCGTGTACTTTGAATGGGTCATCATCTACTTGCCAGTTTGTGATTATAACATTGCAACGGAAACATTTACACGACTTTTTCTCCTCTGAAAGCAAGAAATATATTTTCATAATGGAAAGGGCATCATATATAATTAAATGCATTAGACCAGCGCTTCTCAACAGAAGTAGACCACGGGGAGGAATTATTGCCAAGGGGGAATGGGGAGGAACTCACTGCTACCATTTCCTACCACGTATTTTGTGGAGTGCGGATTCAGCACGGTTAATGTGATGCACTCACAAAGAAACATGGTTCAGTAAAGATAACTTCATAGCTAGGTGATCTACGACGGAAATCAGAATGAACGAACATTCGGCTCAAGGGAGACATTGATCTATCTCTATCTGTGGAGTAGGATTTTATATTCATTAATGGTAAATCGTTGCAAACGTGTGAAATACGTTTCAAAATGATTGATTTATTTTCGAGAGGATGATATTTGAAAAAATTCTTCCAGGGAGGACTGATCTGACTGAGGTTGAGAAGCACTGTATTTTACGATCTATTGGGTCCCATAGACAAACCTTCACAATGTCAAGGTATTACGAATTCGGTGTAACATCTTGACATTAGGTACTTTCCTTATATCACGGAAGATAGTAAATGCCGCAATTTGATTAGATTGTACGCCCGCTAATCAGGAAGACTCTAACAGACTTGGTTGTATTTTCTAGCATACAATCCAATAAAATCGTTCGTGAAACAAGAGAAAATGTATACCAAATGTTTTTTTTTCGTTAAAAAATTTTCAACATGCCTACACAGTATGCAGTATTCTGACTAAATGAACAGAATTTGCTACTGTTTTCCTTTATAATATGACACCTACCATCCCAATAAAACCCAGCTAAACTCAGCTGATTTGCTGTCAGTGTTAGGTGTGCCCAATTCTTTAAAGTTTCAAATCTGGAACTCATTGTTATATATTTATTATTTGTAGTTGGATTGTTGGAAGCATGAGCATCAGATGACGAATTTGTGTTTACATGTGGTCGATCAGTACAAGAATCTGTAACTTCTACAGCATTAGATGTTCCAGTTAAAAGAGCGCTATTGTTCATCTTCATTTCAAGAATATAAAAGCAAGTAGAGAAGTGTCGAAAATGTTCTCGAATTGGATCATCGCCATTTTCCCATTGGGAAAGTTTGCCTTGACAATATACACACTGAACTGTATCACCGGTTCCTAAGTAGATAAATCCAGCTTCAGCAAGTGATACAGGGTGGACTCGATTTGATGGCCAGTTGGAAAAGGTTGACAATCTTTTATCTACTGAATCATAATAAGTCAGTTGTTGAGAGGATGGTTTTTGTTGTTTTGGTTTTTGAGAAGATGCTGTCTGAAGGTCTGTAGGGGGATTTGATGGTGGTGGTGGTTCATTGGTAGTAGACGGGGGTTGAAATGTTTCTCTACAATATTCGCGATGAAGGTGAATTTGAATTAACTCATAAACATCTGTATCGGGTACCGGTAGAGGCTTATTGTTGTCTAATTTACATTCTGGAAAATGGAAGTTCCATTTGGTATATGCAGGTCCGGGTAACAGAAGTTTGAACTTAGTGGGTGTTTTTTTTCGACACGAAAAACAAATGATGACACTATAGCGCTCATTGTAAAACAGTCCGTTTTTAGCAAATTTTAAGGGATTAAATTCAGTAAAGACATGGTTGTACATTACAAGATAGGTGGCCAGACGACTGGTTTGCTGGAACATTTTACTGTAGTCCACATTGTTATCATCACACTCTTCATATTCACCAGACTCAATCATTTAAACTGCAAGACAAAAAGATAAACAACAATTTACGCCAGCTCAAAACCTTAACAATGTCAAGGTCCTATACATCCTGATACCACTTTTAATTATGGAATATTTACTTCTAAGCACGGAAGCTTCTAGCCAATATAGCCCATGACGGAGAGGCTGATTGGCTGTAGGCCTGCCAGCGTACCAAATCAAATTGCTACTTTTACAAACTTTTGTGTTACAAGGAAGGTGCCCAATAATGTCAAGGTATAAGACACTGATCGTAATACTTCAACATTGTATAAATGAAATCTTTTAATTTATTCAAATAATAAAATAAAGACTTTGATTTCCATCAACTATCCCATTTTACACGTCATAATAACTGTTTCAAGTGTTGTTAGGGAACCCGTCCGTTTTCGCCCTCAAGTACTGGGGACGTCATGATCTGATCAGGTTTCTGGGAATTACAGGAACCACTGACGTCGGAAATGAAATCAAAATGCTGCAAATGCAAGCAGACAGTATCGATGACAGGCATACGAAGGTGTGAAAAACAGTAACAGTAACAGTAACATATGAAATACGTTATAATTTGAATCTTTCAAAATCCAAGATGGCTACTAAAATAGGCACTTTAATTGGCTTTCGGTTTCTGAATGCATTCATACACTAAAATCATATTAGGTTTTGTAACTACACTATACATTAATATGATAGTTATGCAATCTTGTGAAGGGGACAGGTGCGCCCTTGGAGGGTTGATTTGGATCTTGAATATATGTAAATAATCTTCAGACGTAGGAAATCGTATAATTCCTTCAAACAATTTTTATAGATGTATTTTCTATATATGGCAGATTATCTTTTTAACTTTCAAACGGACACGTATGGATTTGGCTGCTCAAATTTCGACGGTGATTGATCTACTCACAAATGTAAAATGGCTGCGCTTTTCACATAATGAATACTATTCAGCCATTTGTTATAAATCTATACAAGTACAGACGCGATATAGTCGTTAATTGATATATTTAATTCACACCAAAGTCATATATATAAATCACAATTCGTGGACAAAGATAAAACAGGGTGACCCCAGTACGATTATCGGGGGGTAGCCAAGATGGTAGATATCACCAAACATGTTGTAATGAATCCGTAGTGGTGGCTTCATAAGATCAAAATAAACAGTTGGAAGTTTAAAGATATAACATAAAATTCAATTTTCATATATTAATACCTTGAAGAAATAACTTACTTCCCGGTCATTGGTTAATAGCATAAGGCTAATGTATAACTTCCTTACTGCGCTCTCTTTTTTATCTTTTAAAACTTACTGCGCTCTATTTTTCTCTAAAGGGCTTAAAGTGGATATTACAGTCATCTACAGTCGTGGTACATCATTCAAAATCACCCAATCGCACTTTGTCTATGCACAGCTCCAACTAAGTAGAGACTTATTGATATGTGTTGCTATAAATAGATAGGGAATTTCCCATTTGAACATTGGATACTAGTGGAGTAGCGTAACTCTAGTCATAGAACTGTACAGGAGTAAAGCTCTAGTGTCACGTGATGACGTAAGTCATGTGATAAGTGTTAGGGTGTATTGAGACGAGTGTTGTCATTGGGATCTGATAAAGAGTACAGAATATCGGTATTGCCATATCATGTATTGAAACTAAGAATAGTAGGCCTAGTATTCATTATGTTGTACTACAGTATATTTTGTACAATTTTTCTTCTGCCCTACATTTTAGGTAAGAGTTTACAAGACATCATTATTACCATAGTATTTGCAATACTCTTTTTCACTTTCGCCTTGAAGGCAAATACCGAGTTTCTTAAAATACCAAAGTTAGTAGTTAACTATTTGAAGGATTGCATTTTTCTGTGAGTTATGGTAGAAATTATGAAATGAAGTATAAAAATATGTATTCTATTTATATAACTTTGTATTACAAGTAAATACGTTACTGAGTAATATTCAATCAATAACAAAATAATATATTGGCATACTGTTCAATCATGTAACAACTGATTGCTTTGAGAGATTTTCCTGCGGAAGATTCTTTGTCTGTCTGGTTTGAATCCATTGTCTAGTTGCTGAATAAACTAGAATTTATGTTATTTATATTGACTTTTTTAATAGAATACAAAAAGTGGTCACTATGATGAAAATCGACCATCCATGAAAATATATCGGTCTGTATTATTTGGTAACAATTGTACTTTAGATAATGATGTTTATTGACCGAAACGATTCGTGCATTATGTAATACATCTTATTGTATTATCTGTTTATTACAGGTTACAAGGTATTTAATGGTAGTTTATATTGTAAAGAGAGAGAATGCAACTTTAAAGCTAGTGTGATAGATAAAGTTGATTCTTCAGCTTATGGAGTGTACAATGATTCGTTATTAGATATAGGATGGAGTACATTAGATCTTGTGGCTGGGTATGGACCCCATCAGCTAGATGCCAATATCATGTATTCAGCTGGTTTCTTGGAAGGAATTCTTACAGCAAGGTTCGTTGTTACTCTTGTTCTTTCCAATCCTTATTATCTAAGACAACATAATTATTTATTTCTCTTTCTACCACAGATTATCAAATTCAGATCTTTACCCTTATTTGAAGTTTGGTGTAAGAGACGAGTGGTTTACCGCAAAATTTGTGGAACCATGGCGGCGAATGGAATACCATCTCCACTCTCAATGGTCAACGAATTTGAATCGTTTTGCAAGTTAACACCTTAATCTACGGCAATGACAAAGTTTTCTTCACCCTTTGGCCGAGGCGTGACATTTCTACAATCTTGTGGTCAATTTTTTACTTTCGTCTTTACAATCCATTCTGATCCACCAAAGACACTCTTTCCCAGCTCATTTGTCCTGCTAATCTTATGTGTCGTAATGCTCATTTCAAATATCGAATAGTGGAATTGTGGAACCAAGGGCAGATCCACACCATGTTGGCACAAAGTATATTTTGTACAGTATATTTCGACCTAATTATTCCAGATGTATGAATTATGACTCGTATTCTATAATTGCAGAAGTATATCACAGCACATACAGAATATAAGAGACGTGATATTTAGGATAAAAGATAGATCCATTATAGAGGAAAAACTGAAGGAGTATTTTAATAAACAAGATAAATGGATGAGAAGTATGATAGAAGATAAATCACCACAAGATGGATTCTGGAGACATGTTTATTATATTTTATCTCAGTTGGATGGTTTGATTGCTGGGTATCAAGCTGCCAGAGAACTTAAACCTTCATTACCAGTATGTACATTATCTCTCAGTATTTCAAGGTGCAGCCAAAACTGCTCATAGCTTCATTGCAAAACATGTTATTGTTTCATTATTATCTTCTTGAAGGTCATAAACTGATTTACGATAACAAATACACGAAATCTACCATAAAAGGTTGTATGATTTGGTCTTGCCACGTGAGCAAAATACATCACCGATCATACAGTGTCTCACCAAGCAAAGTCTTCTGTTTCCGTTGGATCATGTAGGCTAATACCGAATGCAAAATGAGATGGTTTCGTTTCCATTTTCCATCTTCCACTTAAACTAAGCTCTAAAAGTTGGCACGGTTATATAAGTTAAGGAAGTGTTGTGCCACAGTTTCAAAGAACCAACTACCAATTTTCCTTATTTTCCAGAAACTAGAGGAATATGACTTTCAAATGTTAAATAGTAATGGTGATATATTTGATTTGATAAATATTGTTCATCCCGAGGCAATACCAGATTGGAGAAAAATGAACAGACAGGAAGCTGTTCAATATGTTCACACTCATGGCAGATGTTCAGCTATGGTCAAGGTAACATAGAAGAAGCTGCAATAACTGACATTTAAATCAATTCATTCGAGATTAATGATTCGATCCCATATTCCCCTTTTGGAATCTTGGGCATGATGTCCAACCGCTTCCAACACAATGACACTGCTTCTGTAAATCAAACCAAAATATGATGACAGGAGAGCTCCCTTCCTTTCTGAACATCTGACGCAATCGGATCTGTTAAATTGCTATCTCAGATTCTGAAAATCCATTAAGCTACTAATGTCATTTTGGTATTAAAGAGCACTTGTTCAGTTATGTACCCGACCGCCAATCAATTTTTGAATATTATTTGGATGTTACGAAAGGTCACGTGAAATGTATAAGAAGACTTTTCCCTTATACAGGTTTTAGGCGCTTACGAAAACATCTATATGTCCCATTCAACTTGGTTTAATTATGGAGCTACCTATAGAATTTTTAAACATTGGAATTTTAACATCAGAGATACTCAGACATCTTCTAAACGTCTTTCATTCTCCAGTTATCCAGGTATGATTTAGAATTTTAAAGATTTTCACAGGTGTTCTTTCCAATGAAACACTTTGTCGTTCTTACTGACCTCGCTATCACCAGATGAAAAGGCATCGATTGAGAAAACCTTTCAATCTGAACATTATCGATACACCAGATTCACGCATCTATTTGGACTGCTCGTGTGCAAGGTCCATAACCTGGATCCACACAAATGAATTGTTGCAGCACCGTGCAGCACCCGGGGTAATGTTCTAATACTTAGGTTTTACTGTTCAACACGAATGTATTATTTTTGATTTAATAGATTTAATTCCCGAAGATACGCATTGTTCAACAGTTCCTACATTGCCAATCTTAGTATAGGAACGCAGATTCCAAGGTGAAGCCATAAAACACCTGTATATCTTTCTGTTTTGTAGGTTTTTTGATATCTGTGGATGATTTCTATATTCTCAGTAGTAAAATGGTGATGTTACAGACCACAAATAACCTATTCAACAAAACACTATATAAATACTGTAAACCTGAAAGTCTGTTAGCTTGGCATCGAGTCAGAATAGCCAATATGATGGCTAATTCTGGTAAACAATGGGCTGTTTCTTTCAGCAGATACAACTCAGGTGAGGTTCTGTGTTAATTCCATCGAGTAAACTAATAATTTCACCAAGTACCCCGACCAGACAAGCTCACTGTCGGGTCACTGGCTATGTCTGACCTTACCCCGTCTACTATTTTGTTCTCCAATCATATTTCATTCTATCCTGCTCTAATGTTTGTCCATGTAGCAATACCGTCTCCATCCTGTGAAAATTATCCGATATTGAATTGCTCAGTGTAGGATGGTTGAATTAGTCATGTGTTGTAAGAAATATTTCTAAATCGTTCTATAACTGATGTTGGTATAGACAGTTACCTAGAAATGGTTCAGTTTTGTGAAAATTTCATAGCTTAACATGTTTTTGGTTCTGTTCAATAGTTCTATATCGCTTTACAAATGATGTATTGAAGACTATTCTAACAGTGAAAATATTTTGTTATCGTATACAGGTACCTATAATAATCAATACATGATAGTAGATCTAAAGAATATACATCTCAATAAAGCCATAGAGGATAATGCTCTGTGGATTATAGAACAAATTCCTGGACTGGTTAGTTCTACTGATGTTACACCTATTCTACGCACAGGTATAGGTATTTAGCTTTATCTCTCCATTCATTCCTGCATGGGGCCATAATAATCTCCTATGTAACACATGATCACAAACGTCCGAAATACTTCCTTGCCTTTTAATATGCAATATTTTAGTTCTTTATTCAGTATAAAAATTATTTTTTGAGCTTGGTTATACGGAAAAAATGTTTTGGATACTAAAAATAAAATTTTGCTATATTGTTGTTGTTATGTTTATTGATGTTTATAGACCAACCTTCAAAGGCCAAGTGTAACTAAATATGAGGAAAGAGTACCTTAGTACTGTTTTCCGCCCTTTATGTCATCATTATCTAATTTCTGATGTTTGAATCTTTGTGTTCAAGGCTACTGGCCCAGTTATAATGTACCATTCTTTGAAGAAGTTTATAATAAGAGTGGTTATCCAGAGTTTGTTGCCAAACATGGTATAGATCTATCCTATCAGTTGGCACCCAGAGCTAAAATATTCCGACGAGATGAAGGAAAAGTTACAGATTTAGAAACATTTAAACACATTATGAGATATAATGGTATGTAGGCCAATTATACAACTTAACCATCTTTCATGCCATCGATTCTTTTTGAATATACGTGTTGATATTGCTATTTGATCAAAGAGAAATAAAAAAGAGAGAGCAATCGAAGATTCAAGACCCACAAGAGGTCATTGCGGTAGATATGAATTGAGTCATCCCAAATAGACCGATCAAAATAAATCACAAAGCATGGTGTTGCGATTAATGCTTCTGATTGTGTTGTATTGTTTTAGATTTTAAAACCGATCCATATTCGGAATCTGATCCGTGTAATTCAGTATGTTGTCGAGGTGATCTGGAGAAATCCCCAAATACAATGGGTTGCTACGATACTAAGGTAGGAATTATTTATTTAAAGGTGCCCTCACACATAGCAATCACCAGTTACTTTGCTTATGGTTGCGAATAAGAGTAGCGGTCACAAGTTTCGAACGCAACTCTCAGGCAAATAAGTATTGACTTGTGTTAGGAACTCATCACCAATGTCATTATTCACAACCATCTGGTAATGAACCAACTGATGTGAAGGCACTCAATAGAGTGTTCTTTTCAGAATCAAACCATGGAGTCAGGAAAAGGAAAATAAGAAACATTCATACTTTAGGAAAATTACAATATTTCAGTATCTTCTCTAATTCATAATACGTGTACCTCTTTATTGTAGGTCACGGATTTCAAAATGGCTTTAAATCTACAAGCTGATGTTATAAATGGTCCAACATTAGGATCTGATCTACCACCGTTTAAATGGACATCTGAGTTTAATCAATCACATGTTGGACTACCGTCTTTTTATAACTTCTCCTTTATACCAACTACTCCCAGATGGAATTAAACAAATCTTTCATCACAATTATCATCAGCTTTCCGTGACGTCAAAATCTAAATACTATGTAATTTTACTCAACAGCTCAGATTTATGAAGTCATTTGTATGTTAAGGATTTTGTCCATCCATTTGATCGACTCTTATTACTGGCGTACACATGTATGATGTTACTTTAATAGCAGGGAATGCTCAGCTTTAGGACACCTGGTATCTCAGTGCGACCGAATTTATCACCATTTACCACGCATATACCACATGTGATATTTTTTTGTATATATATAATTCAGTGAGTAACTTCTAACGGCTGCTTTTCTCTGGGCTTCAAATATTTCCAAAGAATTTGGTCTTACGTGTTAGTAGTATTCCGTTTCATTTTTTGTTTTTCCATATTTGTTTACTGAATTGATTCATATATGAAAATAAAAGATTATTTTCAAGTACCAGGTTTCCTAGTTCTAGAAAGATATTTTTACTTGTTTCTCGGGGATAAAGATTCACTGAAACATGGATCCCCCCCCCCCATAAAAAATGGCGATCTAACTTGTTTTTGACAAAATTCAGAGCATTCTAGCGCTTCCTATCATCATGAATCATTATTTTTTTCCCGATAATGGCAAAATTAAAGGGTTTATAATTCTTTTTTATTTAAAAAAAAACCTATGAACTAAATATTTCGGAGCAACGACTTTGAAGAGTTATTTTCATTCGTGCTCGGAAAACTATCACAGCTGTTTTGACCGTTTTGATCTTAGCTTGAACTTTGACACCCAATCGTGATGGATCGTGTGGTTTGGATGTAGACAAATTTGATGTTGATATGGGTCATCAATATATGTAAATAGTCTTCAGAAGTACTAGAAATATCTAAAACTGGGAATTTCACTTTATACATGTAAATAAGGAAAGACGAGTCGTCTTTTTCTAACTTTAAAACGCGGATAATTCTGGACACATATGGTTATACGGTTTCGACGGTGAGATGCGAACACTATTACTGAATAGCTAAACAAAATTCACGTTTCTGAGACTTAGATGATAAGATGTATTTTGATTCGGAAATATGAATCCATTTGACTTCAGTTTAAATATTTAGCGTGTATTCACAAATATAATATATATAACAAAGAATGTTAATCATAAAAATTTATTTTATAATTGTACTCTGTTTCGACTATTGATATTACACCAATGGCTTAAATCTCACAACAAAAAACTATTATGCATAATACGAATGGTAGACTAAAAGTGATCAAAACGTGAATGTCAGAACACAAACAATTAGATATATTTAAATTACAAATGATTACAGATAAAGCAAATAAAATTTCACAATCAATTATGTATAATGCAAACGAAGATTACAAATGATAACACATGTTGCACCCTTATGCAAATACTGAGCCACAGGCGTGTTTATGCATAATACAATTTGTGGATTGTTTACCACTATGTTCCCAATAATTACTATATATTTTTTCAGTCACCAAAACCATATAATGAAAATATTGTACCACAAACGATGGTGTATCAGCAAACGATTAAGTATGATGCGATTTTTGGATCAATTACAACCGATTATATAGATGATCCCAAACGATTATTATATATATAGAATCATTCACTAACAATAAGATGATGATCATCGATGATATATTACGAGAATTTCAATCGTAAATTACAAACGATCATGTATAATGCGATTATTGGATTAATCACATCCTATAATATGGATGATCCTAAACGGTTATTATGTTTTATGCGAATATCGGACCCCAAGCGATTGTGTACAAGAACATAGGAGATTACAATATTATTACATATATATTATATGATTATGAAGTCGATTATTTCGGAACAATACAATATGAAATAATAACAAAATTGAGAACATTGTGTCTGTCAATATAAGTTGAACCCATCTGGCATATTTACTTTAAAACACTAATCTTTACTAATAATAACAATATTATCCATATCCAGTGGTGGTGGTAGAAGTGATCTTAAATAATCTGATTCAGAACTATCGGTAGCTGTAGTTGTGACCTTTGTGGTTGCTTCTTTCACTTGTTCCTCAGTATCAACTTGGTCAATGTAAGCTGTTGCTTTTTCTGAAATGGTTTCATGATGATCAGATGGTAATGAGGGTACTTCCTCACTAAAATCTCTATCATAGTCCACATTATCAGTATCAGAACCTACAGTGTTAGATGGTTGGAAGTCTGCGTCATCTATTGGTGAATGTTCTGGTATCACATGATCTTCTCCCAATTCCCTCACATCATCTTCAGTTGGAATTACTGGTGGATATTCTGGGTATTCTTCACCGTGTGTCTCTTCTGCTAGCTCATGCTCTACTGATTCCAGGTAATCTACAGATGGTGGTGGTGCTGGGATGTCTGGCTCATCTGTGTCTTCAAAGTCTTTTTCAGATTCTTTATCAGACGGTTCTTTTTCTGAATTATCTTTTTCTGAATCAGAGCCTGCACCGACCATAAAGGCACTTTTAACAAACTGGTTATCGTTTATTTCCTTTTCAATAGTTTGTGGAGCATTTTCAATAACTTCATTATCTATTTTATCTTCTATCTGCTCTTTTAGATCTGGAGCCGGATCATCACTATTATCACCACTGAGTAGACTTAAACCACCAATTAGACCTGCACCACCTGCAACAGCTGCACCACCTGCGGCAAGTACACTAGTGTACTTGGTTTCTCCTTTGTTGTTGTCTTGTTTCAGGTCTTCTAGTTCCGTTACTGCTCCTTCAGCTTTGTCTTGTGCATCTGCTTTGTCATCATATTTTGATGTATCTGTTTTTACTGATGCAGATTTAACTTCTTCAACCTTCTCGGAAACAACTGTCTGGTTTTCATTATTTGGTACGTCATCTTGAACACTGATGGTTTTGACGTCGTGTAGTGGTATCTGGTTTTTGTTATCTTTATTATTATTGCCATTAGAATACACAGTAGACTGTCCATTTTCAACTTTGATTTCCTCGTTTCGTTGTCTCCTATTCTTAACTTTATTGCTGAAAAAAAATACAGTTTATTTCGATTACCACCATCTCAGCAGTTCTCAAATCCGGATGTTTCAAAGTCGGAAACGATTTGACTTGTGGATTAATGGAAGGGTGCAAATAAAGCGGTACATACTCCCACTTTCAAATATTTCTGTCTCATGGTATTTTATACTTATTATATAAATCACATGGATACATAGTTCTAATTTTCAATTTTTATTACATTCAAAGCTATTGTTTCAGAGATCTCTTGAGTGACAAAAAATGCTTATGAAAGATTGAAAATACTCGAATTCCAAATCCAAATGATACGTTATGCTAGAAGGAACCATGGCACCGAGAAGAACTTAAAGACTTATTGTTTAAATATACTTACATAATGATGACGATGAGGAAAGCTACCAACAGTAGAAATGTTCCAACTCCTAGAGCAATACCAACTGTTAAATCTAAATATAAACAAAATGATTAGAAACAAACGCTACAATCTAATGTTCCTGTTTCGAGTTTTGGACAACATAACGACAGTTCATGAACTCTTGGATGATAATTACATTATAGGTTAATTCATTACTGATAATAGAAAATCTGACCACAGATTACAGAAAACGAAAGATCGATATTAATTAATTTAAATAGGTCGAGGGCTCATGTCATAGCTGAATATAGATTATAGAAAATCAAGTTACCTGAAGTATCTTCTTTGGTGACTTCTCCTTGAATTCTGTTCGGATCTGGTGTCGAATCATCACAGGCAACTATAAATATGCAATAATGAAAAATAATATTTTTATAATTTATACAATGTAAACGTCGGGTGCCACTGGTAAACACAGACGACATCAAACATAGATAAAAAATATAGAGCAAAATTTGTATTTGTGGTTTTTGTGGTCACTTACGGCAAAAAGTGTAACTACCTTATCAGGTCAGTATTTGGATAAAAGGGAAGTAACTTGTTCTTAGTTTTCAACATGTTTATATAAGGTACTTAAAAAAATACTAAGTATTTAAAGGATTTGATCACACTAGACAAATCTTACTGATATACTCTTATTAAGAATGACCACTAAACAAATATGAATTGATGCCCGTAAATATCTGGCCTAGATGATTCACCACTTTCTATTGTTTGAATATTTTTCATTTTTTAATTTTCTAAATGTTACACTTTATTTGCATTATTTCACTCGAGTCTATCAACATTCAACTTTCTGAATTATTGCAACATAATATTTACAATGCTCGTAGATATGTTTTAAATAGCTCTCAATGAGCCCAAATTAATATCTTTGCCCGACTATAAATAAGATATAGTATATGCAAAAAATTACAAACCAACTCGTTTGCCTACTCAAAATACTTCGCCCATATTATTTATAGCAATGGTTCTTTCAGCTTTCTGAAGTAGAACTTATGCATTATAGAAGTCTTATGCAATAATGAAGTCACTAAATTCATAATTTTTGAAGATAACGTCAAAAAACTACTTTTCTTTGGGAAATAGAGGTTGGTAAATACCATCAGCTAAAATAATACTTATATAATAACCAAAGTCTCCAAAAGTTACATATATACTAACCTGCAAGAAAGGAATAAACGAAACACCATAATCCAAATATCACCTCCATTTCCATAATTTCTCTGATAAAAACCTTCTATATCAATGTCAATATCCTTCCTCGTCAGTGATATTCAAATCCAATAAACTCGATGATTCGTTTTAATAAGGTAATGTGGTTTATCTTCTTATTTTGATACAGTTGGTTGCGTTATGGTTTATACTGTTTGTGAAGCAATTCAAGTAAAACGTAACACCCTCAGAACAACCATTGATGAAGTGGAGTTTTAAAACAGGGCTAGTCCTTAACACAGTCTCATAATTATCAAAGAATTTTTTTAGCATCCGATGAATCTTAATTTTTGATCTCTACTTGAGTATAGAAAATACCAGATTAAAGCAATCCAATCAACTGCATTGCAGTGTCAAAGACGACAAGTCATAAACCTCGCACAAGATCTTCCCTTTGTAAAACATAAGTTGTTGAAAGAATTAAATAGAGCGGTATACCAAGTATAATAGATTGCTTAGTTGTAGAGTGACATTTTATGTCGTGTATATACAACCAGTTTTTCAACAATATGCTTACATTAATAAAGCTAAATAAAGATATATACAGATAGCAATTCAAAAGAATAAAGTATATATGTACTTAACAAAAAAGTGACTAATAATATATATATATAAGGTGATACACAAAAATGATTCTCTATTTAAGAATTTGAGTTGTGCACAAATATTTCAGTCAATTGAACCATATTCAATATTTATCATTACCTCTTATAGGTGTGCCTTGTCGAACACACGAAATTGGAAATGTTGCAATAAGCATAACTACGAAAAGAAAATGGGCTGTCATGGTTACCGCCATGAAAATGTGAATATGGTTGTCAAGAATGTCTTTTCTGAATTACTTGTAATGGACATAATTTGTAGATGCCCCTTGCTTTTAAAGCACGGTTGATAATACACTGTCGTTTATTTTAGAATATCATAAGTAATGTCGACTTTGCACCGGATTTTCCTATACCTTGTACCTTCCTTATAAACAGTTAGTCCTTATTTATCCAATATCTGTTGATGTGCAGTGGGCGAGTGGCTGCTATAACAACCTGCCATTTTTGAAATCATCCCGATAGTTTTGTTTTATAATCCATTACACAGAGCTTATATCAAGACTTTATTGTTATTTAGTATGCCATAAGATGTTCAGCTTCAATATGAAAACACCTTAACGATGTAGGCTTAGTACATCTGCAGTGACCTCTGCAGTGTTTATCAACATGATTTTATGAAATTGGAGGATGTGTACAGAAATTCGTAACTAATATTCGCTTGTCTCTTTATACACTCGGTTATCTAGATCACAAATTATGCGATGTTAGTCATTCGTCTTTTGACCAAACCGGCTGGCCAAGAAATGAATCTGATAAAACGAGTCACAATAAAGTCGTTAATACGGCTTTGGACTTCATCTTTTCAAGATATCGATATCATCTTTTCTGATCATCAAGTGTTCGTCACTTTCTCTTATTTATGTGTTAGTCCTGTTAAACCATCTTTCAAATGACAGCTATTAGGAACTGCGTGTAATGCCTTGACTGTAATAGACACCTTTCTTGTATAACGGAATACAGCGATTTGATTGGATTGTACGTCAGCTATTACGAACTGCGTGTAATACCTTGACTGTAATAGACACCTTTCTTGTAGAACGGAATACAGCGATTTAATTGGATTGTACGTCAGCTACAGTCAATCATAGCCCTCGACTGACAGACTATGGCTTATTATTTGCAGACTTTCTGTCGATGACTCTGATTGACTGTATTCGCTAACGTGCAATCCAGCCAAACTGCTGCATTTACAACCTTCCGTGATACATGAAACGTGACTGTTGCAATTAAGGTTAAAGAAAAATGTCGTCTGGCTATACAAGCTGAATTTAAAAAATCGTTTGAAATTTGATTTCAGGATATGATAAGAAATAAATGACAAGTTTTTAAATTATGATTCCAGCAATGATTTTAATAACTTGCAGACTTATGATACAACGTTAATCCCTAGTTGTGGATTAAAGGATAAGATTCAATAGAATTCTTGCTATAAGGGTAAAGAGAGCTCAATATTTTAATTAAATAGGTGCATGTTAGGTATAATAATGCAGTAGCCTAAGTTAGGTGTGTGAATCGGCAGGTATAATTTTGCGACAAAGAGAAAAAGGGAGATAATCTACTGAACACATTATCTTTTTTTTTTGTAAGATATAAATCTTTCAATAGGTTTTATTTTATTAATGATTCGGGTGGCTGAGCTGCAAAATGATATAAAACGACGACACCGAAAAACAAATTTTCATGGAATACCCTCTTGAGTTGTTACATAATCTTGAACAGTTTGTGAAATATATATTTCTTCATGCTTCTACATGCGGTAATAATAGTCTCTTTTTTATTAGATTGAGTCGAGACTGCCGTATTAGATTTTCAAAAGTACACAACTTAAACATCATATTTGTTCTAATATTGTAAATCTAGATTGTTTTTGATAATGGTAAATAGAGTTTTGTGTTTAAGTTATCCTCAATAAAAAATATTTAGTGGTGGAGGTGGCAAATCATTATCGGGCACAACATTATCCGTATCAGGAACAGGATTATCATTATCAGGGACAGCATTATTATACTCGGGGCCAGCATTATTACTCTCGGATACATCATCAACAGCAAATATACCAACATCACCATTTTCAGTTGTTATTTCATGATTTACGTACGCCGGTCCGTCTTGTTCGTCAGGGGAAGTACTTGGTTCTGTCCAAATTTCTTCATTTCGATCTAGGGGTGAAGAAAGAGCTTTGGGAGTTTCATCACCATTCGTTACCAAGATATCATTTTCCACATCAGGCTTATTATTCCTCTGCCTGGAACGTTTGTTGCTGAAAAAATAGAATAGTAAACACAATAAGTGGAGTTCAGTGAATTTCTATCAATTTTATCTTTGTAAACATCTGATACCACTTTTCGTTATGAAGTATTTCCTCATTTAGGATTGATATACTTATACTTACAACATATGAATAGTTAATTAGCGTTAGTTGCAATACCTTGTTTTGGATATTGGGTTTCGACTTGCGGTTCGGATTGTTTGTTAATTGAAAAATTGTCTAATAATAATGTATATGAGGCGTGTTTTGTCGAGGATTGTTAATCGGAATTTTTAAATTTAGAATTATAGATTTTGAATCGCTTAAATAAGAAAGTCTTGCTCCACAAATTTCCGACATATCGCCCTGTATTCAATTGAATAGGCGTTCTATGGTATGTGTATGTAGGCTACACAAAGCGGTGTATGTTATAATAAAATACATTACGTGAGTAAAAAAAACAACAAGTAATTTGATGCACGATTTGCTGCACATCAGTAATTATTGTTATTATAAACACACGCCTTTTATGAATCTGCTTCAAGACTTGTGTTAAACACAATAAAATATATAATGAATTCTCCATTAACAGGAACAAGTATATATTGCTGAAAATTCAGACATTAAAATTGATTTTTTGTCGCCTGTCATTTCTATATTATAACTATAAGTAAATGGTTACTATTTGTAGAAGAATCCAATGTCTGTTTTATTTCAAAATTGACTGGTTACATGGCATTTAGCAAACTTTATCCCTTTACAAATCATATTGTACGCTATAGTGTATTCGTCAGGTAATAAGAAATGTAATATATATATCTACATACCAAACAAAAACTAAAATAACAGCAACTAATATTAGAAAACTTCCAACACCGAGACCAATAGGTACAACCATATCTGAAATATAGGGTCAAAATGGAATTCAAAAAATTGTATTCAACAAGCTTGCATTAATGACTGCAAATTAAGTTTTCATGGACTATGTTATCAACACAATTGCATCTAACTAAACAAAATATGAAGGTTTTGTTAGCCAACAAGCTTGTTAACACCAACCTTGTCTTGGTTTAGTAACTTCACCAGGCAAATTTCTTCCATCAACTTCTGAAACACTCCCATCATTTCCGGTTTCTTGCCTAACTGTTGTTTTTCTGATATTTGAATCATTTGAATCTTGTTGTGTGGTTGTTGATTCTAGTTGTTTGGTTGTTATTTCTTGTTGAGTGGTTGTTGGTACTTGCTGCGTGGTTGTTATTTCTTGTTGAGTGGTTGTTGGTACTTGCTGCGTGGTTGTTATTTCTTGTTGAGTGGTTGTTGGTACTTGCTGTGTGGTTGTTATTTCTTGTTGTGTGGATGTTGGTATTTGCTGTGTGGTTGTTATTTCTTGTTGTGTGGATGTTGGTATTTGCTGTGTGGTTGTTGATTCTTGTTGCATAGTTGTTGATTCTTGTTGTATAGTTGTTGAGTCTTGTCGCATAGTTGTTGATTCTTGTTGTATAGTTGTTGAGTCTTGTCGCATAGTTGTTGATTCTTGTTGTATAGTTGTTATTTCTTGTTGAGTGGTTGTTGGTACTTGCTGTTTGGTTGTTGATTCTTGTTGCATAGTTGTTGATTCTTGTTGTATAGTTGTTGATTCTTGTTGTATAGTTGTTATTTCTTGTTGAGTGGTTGTGGGTACTTGCTGTGTGGTTGTTAATTCTTGTTGTGTTGTGGTCATTGATAATACTTTAAAACATTTAACTTGCAGGTTCACGTTGTTTGCTGAATTAAATAAATATTATGGAAGTGTTTATATTTTTGTTGTAAGAGAGACTGCAACTAAAATCAGTAATTTTATTCGTTTTACTTCCATCTTGAGGACTATTTCAATGAATATGAGTGTTGGCCAAACCTCTCAACTATATCCTTTAATTTTTATTCTTAGAAAAAAAATAAATTCTCAAAAACTAGTACACTGATTACATGGACGATTGTAAATTTCTAGCAAAACAGTTGTTTCCATGTGTGCTCGTGTTAATGGCACATATCAATAATAAAAAAATGAAAAAATGTCAACGTACTAAATGCTCTTATTTGTAAACAAGTGTCTAAAGCAGTGTCTCCAGACTTAAACTCTTCTTGTAGAGAAACCGTGGCTGTTGAATTATCTATCATATCGAAAAACGATGTCGGTCTGGCTACTCCATTAGTACAGCTATACGTTGCTGTGGCACCTTTGAACATAATAAGTTGTTTATAATAGCAGGATGACCAATATTGTTTTGGTATGAAATCTACCTGTGCTGGATTAGTACCACTACCAAATGTAGTTACTGTACACGAACAATCAGTGACGGTACTATCAGTTGGTAGAGTTGTTTCTAAATACACTTCTGTACCACTTCTTGTGCCTTCATAACACATCTTTAGAGCTACAGAATAAAACAGAAAACGTGTTCATGTTTCAACATTGATCAATATCGGATTCCAAAATGTTAATGTTCTCTCCGGACAATTTTCTGCATAACAGCGAGATGAATAGTTCAAAGATATTATGAGGATGAATCAGAACTGTTAAATTCTTAACAAATTTCATTTTATCCGCATCATCAGTCACGAGCACCAAATTATAAGTTTAGAGCAGACCCGGTAGATTAAAATATTAAACATACCGTTTGGATTTCCTGGACAAGATCCTTCTACAAAAAAAAGAACCTAATGATTTATTGCCATTCTTTATTGTCAAGATTTCTTACATTGTCTTTGGCTTGATGCAAATGCAAACCAATGAAAAAGTTATTATTTGGTGAATTATTCACACAGGAATTTCTGGACTAGATAATAGAAAATAGGATTGTGTTGATTTCAAATGTAAAGACTCTAAACTTTAAATTTTAATGGACCAAAAGACATTCTAATGAGAATTCTATTTGAAACATTTTTGTAGAGAGAATAAATTCAATTCTGAGGTCACTTTGGTCAGAGAGTATTTATCCTAAGCACTATTCCAGAAATTCCAGAAACCGATGTTGCAGCCAGAGCAACAGTCTAAGATAATCATAGCTTATGATATTGATAGGTATACATAAATAACTAATATAGTAGGTGTTTTCTCCAGAATTAACCTCACTGTTTCGGTCTAATCCAATAATGAATATATACGGATTCTATATCAGGAAATGTATTATGTGCGTCAGGAATTGTTTAAAGGGCTACAGGTGAACCTTTTTTTGACCAATCATATTTTATTCTCAGAAACCGGATTTTTTTTTAGCAAAGCCAATCAATAATACTGTTCACAGCTCACCGTCGATATTTGTGCCTTTAAATCCATGCGTGGCCAGAATTATCGATAAAATGACGACTCGTGGTTTTAAGACATTCTGTGATATATAGAAAGGACATACTATATAGAAATAGGGAGTAAAATTCATAAAGTACTTTTAAAGGAATTATTCGATTTTCGTACATTAGTACTTCTGAAGACTATTTACATGATAATATCCAGGACTAAAATCAACCAGCAACCCCCACCACCCTCCCAAAATGGCACACAGTCCTTTTAAATCCAATAACGTAATTAGCTACATGCATTTGAGAATTTGTAACAATTGTGTATTAATTGAGACGCCATACACAAACTTTTCTATTGTTCTAAAATAAGATATTTTAAGATAAATCGCTGCAATAAATATTGCACTGCTATTTGATAGCTGTATATTATAAATAAATTTCCTTACCTGTGTAAGACACACTTAAAAATAATAAACATACAATTACTGAAAAAACTCTCATCTTGTCTGATCAAACTTTCCGATAGATTCAAAATTTAAAATATAGATAAAACACAGTTCAGTAAAACAAGTGAACCATCAACTAGGTTAATGTAAAAAAATATCATTTGATATTGTATAACCTAAATTTGAAATATGTTTAATGGGGCAAAAATGAAATGCACAAATTTTATAATATCCTGCACCGAGAAGGTAGGCTTTATTTACAAACCATAACCAAACCAGCCCTTTATAGCGAATTTATGAAGTGAAATTATACGCCCAAGATTTTTGCTTTTGATTTGGTTAATAAAGACGAGCAATGTGGTGTGCATCGAGGACTACGCTGTAAAAACATTAGGGTGCACAGTCTGCATCTCAAGATATCTCCTATATCGATTGCAAGGAAAACCGGTTTGTTACCCTAATGTTACTAACTCGACCTACAAACTATATAAGATAAAGAATTTACTAATAATAACTAAGCAAAATATTGACCATTTAGAACAGAAAACTATGATTTGATGCAAAGTATTGCAAAATTTGACACAAAAAGGATGTCAAGGTGTGTCAAATTATGATTTATAACGGATTGTATCACCATGTTTCATATGTATTGGTTCATTTCAGGTGTAACAGGGACTATGCAAGTCATTATAACAGATTGCCACCGCCTAGTTCGACGAAAGATTCAGTCTTTTGCTAAACACCCACACCCTTTACGTGTCTAATGAACAAATTTTCTGTTTACAACTAGATAATAGAATCCGTCTCGTCGATCATTTTAATATATGGCCTAAGATGGAAATTCAAGCCCTTCTCCATTTAGTATAATAGCTATATATTATTTCATAGTAAAATGGAGGGATCTTAACGTTATTCATTCATCATATGTTTTCGACTAATTGACACCTGATGTCGATCTTGAAATCATTCACACACCAATAAACACTACCTCATGATATTGAATATCAATTCAGTCTTGCATAAAGATTGGGTGAAACGCTCTCTTGTAATGAGTTATTCCATCTTACTGGCTTACTATCTTATTGTTTGTTGTACAACTAATTAAAAGACACAGACACAGAAACAGTGGCAGCAGCAGCCTCTGGGAATTGGGGTTACAATAGACTTAATGGGGCAACTGTCGGGGTTTTGATTACAAATGCGGAAGCGCTGTATTAGCGTCATTGCGAAAGCCTCGCATGGAGGGTATAAAGGAGAAATAGACTTGAATAGTGGGACTCACTTTTAATTTATCTGATGAAGGTAGCATCATTTCAAAGAAATGCAGACAAATATAATTTCTCATTTCATAAATTGCGTTGAATATTAAACACCAGACAACCAAGCCAGCTGAAAACCTTCATCAAAGAACTAACATTGACCTTATGTTACAGTTAAAAACTAGTATTGTTATTGGAAATAATATTATTTGATCGTCGATTTTGCCTAAGAAAAAAGATTTTGAATATTCATTTTTGATGACTCAACCATAAAAACGCAATTTTATTTTCCTATTATCTAAAACAATAAACAAAGCTTTGAAACATTTGATACTTGTGGAATCTAGAAGTGATGTTATATCGGTGTAAGCTTATGTCATATTTAACTAGTTATTTTTACCAAGTGAATGTTCTCGAGAAGGGTATATGAAGTCAAACTTTATCAAAGAAGAGAAAAGTCAGTGTTGATCACGTAAGCTCTGTCCATTTGTTTCCTTTAACATAATGTTCGTGACAATGGAGCTAGGTTGTACGGTGTTTTCTTCTCTTAATGAGTTTTGACAGGGATGATAGAGACAGGGAAATATACCTGGTGTTTGGTAGATTTAAACTATCGATTACCAATTATTAAACATTTAGACATGTTACTGTGTATTATTGTGAGAGACTTCACTTACGTCTAAAATAAATATTCATCGAACAATTTTTCTACTGACGATGTGTCTAATCTTTATTTTTGTAAGTTTTTATGTTATAATTATCCTTTGCAGCTATGTATTTTTCAGTAATGTATCGATACATCATTAATATGACGCTGTTGGATTCTAACGATTAATGTAACTTACTAACATTACAGTTGCTGATATTGTATGGTGCTGCTGCTGAAGTGTATCCTTGTTCGGTAAGTACCTTTTCTAATGTTTTCTAAGAAAAAAATAGAAACAAAATGAAGAAATAACACAAATGGTAGGAAAACATACTCGCAAACGATAAATTTTCAAAATTTCATATAATCAAATCTTAGAACGCTGCGCCCTTTCTTCGACCAAACGATTCTATTGCTGATTAAAATTGTTTTTTTTTTCATCGAATTTACAAAATCAGATGTTCATCTTTTTGATTTAAACTTAGAAATAATTAATTTACTTTATTGCAACAAATTAATAGTATAAGGAATATCATTACAATATTTTCAGATGGCAAAATGTGCCAAAGGATTAACATGTCGTACCGTGGAATCTAATTGCATGCGACAGCCCTGTCCACTTATAGCTAGATGTATTAGTAAGTTGTATTTTAATAATATGTTGTAATTGTATTAGACAACCATGACCTCCTTTAGCTAGATGTATAAGTAAGTTGTATTTTAATAATATATCCAATTGTATTAGACAACCATGATTTCTTATAGCTAGAAGTATTAGTTAGTTGTATTCCAATCAAATCTGATTGTATCCGACAACTGTATCTGTCAATATTAGTAAGTTGTATTTTAAAAATATATCATCCAACTGTATCAGACAATCCTGTCCTCTTATAGCTAGAAGTATCAGCAAGTTGTATTTTAATAATATCTAATTGTATCAGACAGCCCTGTCTTCTTAGAGCTAGATGTATCAGTCAGTTGTATTTTAATTACATATCTGATTTTATTTTGGATGACATTTTTATGGTTTGGACTTATTCTATCGAACAGTTTTGGGAATTCTTTGAAATTCTCAACAACCACCATCCTTCTATCAAACTAACCGCAAACGTGAGTGACAAAAGCATAGACTTTCTCGATACCACAGTCTTTAAGGGAGATTCCATAGCAGAAACAAATAAACTGGATATTAAAGTGTATTTCAAAGAAACTGATACTCATCAACTCTTGCACAAGAGCTCCTTTCACCCAAAACATACCTTTTCTGGTATAATTAAGTCACAAGTTTTACGATTTCATCGAATTTGTACAAGATCTTCTGATTTCAACCAAGCCTGTACGATTGTTTTCTCAAAACTGAAAGAGCGTGGGTACTCTAAACGATTTTTACGAAACATAAAAAATTCCACCTTAGCACAGATAGCAGCTAAAAACAGACTTTATGCCGAAGTACCTCCAGGTTTAAGAAGTGCTCCATGTTTGTCCAGTAGATGCAAAACATGTCCCTTTATATCAGAAACTCATTATTTTGTAAGCAACTCTACGAATAAAAGGTACCCGATCCAGGAACATCTAACATGTGAACATTCGAATGTAATATATTTAATTTCATGCAAGAAATGCCCCAAACAATATG